AGGATTTTATAGACATGCAGAGCCTGAGCTGTGATGTACCTACAGATTAACATTTATCATAAAGGGGAAAGTTTAAGCTGTAAGGAGTAGGTCTTTGTGTTCTGGATAATAGGGATAAAAAGTCAAAGCATTGAAGTCAAACACTGCTGAGTAGTTGGTATCTGGGGATTTGGATCCTGTTCAGGGTAACCTTGGGTGACACTTTCTGACTGGTATCAGTCCAGCTTGGAAGATGACACCTATGCAATATTCATTCTATCATTCACTGCTCTGGTTCAACCTCCTGTTTTCTGGCTTACATAGCAAATCTGCCAAACACTTCCCAGGCTAGCAGGTAGGAATTAGTGATTGTTGTCAGTCTGTAAGAGTGCTTTAAATGAGAGCTTTTTTCTTTTTTTTTTCTTTTTTCATTTCCCAGAGAGAAAATATGAGTTAGTAAAACTTGTCCTTGCAGCTAGCTAAGTACAGTGAAAGTCATGATCATGCTGTAATCTCTGATGAGCCTTATTGCAATTTGGTGAAGCATTTGAGTGCTTGTCTCCAAGTTTGTTTGATTTAGTCATACTCTGGAGAAATGTCTGTTGAAAAGAGCTACTCTCTGAATCAGGCCCTTGGGGAATAGCCATGAGGTAAATCAGGGGGCAGGTGCTGTGCTGTACACATACGGTTCTTGTTGCAAAACATGGCAGGAAGAAATTTTGCTTCTCTGGAAAATGTGAGAGCCCAGGTAGACATCAGGAAAATGCTGAAGTAGAAATTGTTTTGGAGAAGTGACATAAAGCAACTCTGAAAGGCTGGTGAGTCCAGCAGCAAGTGCTCAGCCTTGCCAGCAGTCTCTGCTGGAGAGAGGTGAGTTGTGGGACAGGCATGAGAACTCATATTTACATCCCTGGAGAGGTCTGCTTGCTGAGGTCTCAGTGAACATGCCTGGTAGACACACAGAACATGCACAGGTTCACAGAACAGAGCTGCCCAGGTTATGCATACTCTCTACAGTTTCCTTTCTGTTTTGTAAATACCACAAACATCTGTTGGATGGTCTGTGGGGGGCACCATGGCCTTGGTCAGATGTGTGCCGTATGACTGGGTTGGTGTCTGTTACTCCCTAAAGAAGGAAGATGATGTCTGGCTCATTAGTAAAGGTTGGGACAAACACAGCTCTCTTTTCACACGGCAAAAACCTGGGGCATTTGTTATCCCTGCACCAATCTGGACTGCTGCATTTGTATGTTCTGCCCTTTGGCTGCAATGATCCCTAGAGACGTGCTTAGCAGTGAAATCTCATAAAAACCTGCACAGGGCAGGTGTTAATTTTCAGAGGTTTTGACCCAGTCTTGTTGGCATTTGGGCCAGAGAGCAACAAATGTGTTTCTTCAAGCCAGGTTTTTGCAGTTTATGAAACACATTGAGCTAGATGAGGAAGAAAATATTACTTCTGAATAACTGGGGAGGCAGCTTCTTTACTTTGTATTTGGAGTAATTTTCTGGCTCAAAATATAAGAGAATATTTTAGTCTTAGCAGGAAGGAAAGAATAAGTCAAAGAATAAGGCAGGGGCTTTGGCTAAATCATGTAAGAAATGCTTGGTGACTTAAGGAACCAGTATCAGCATTGGTTTGTGTACAAAAATGGAATTGTGTATAATTCTGCTGAACTGGCAGGAAAAATATTAACTATTTCTTTTGCTTTCTTTCTGCAGAGTGGTCTTAAAATCTCTTGATAGCTTTCTCCTGAAAATTAGCAAGTGCCTACAAATTGCCAGAAATGCCCATCCATTCACGTTTGGCTGGCTGCCTTTGGTTCCGAGCACCTGTATACTTTAGAGAAGATAGGTTTTGTAGAAATAGTGAAAACTCCGGACTAGGAAATTCTTCATTATATTTCTCTGAATGGCACAGTGAAGCTCAGGTTAGTGGAGACGACTTCTCTTTGCTAGCTCAGTGTCAGTAGGATGAGGCATGAGTATTCTTTGTGTTCATATCTCTTGTACTGCTCTGAGAAACTTACTTTATTGGAACACTGTGACCAAGAGTTGCTGCCTGTGCAGCATCAGCATGAGGTGAATTATACCATAATGTTTGACCTGCTTGTGTATGGTTCAGTTAAGCCAGATTTCTACAGAGCTGAATATTAAGGATCTTCAAATAAGACTTCCAGATTGAAAAAGGAGCCAGTGGATGACAGGATGAAGAGTGGGATACGCTTATGGTATTGCTCATGCGAATTCAGCTGTGGCATGTGCACAGACTAATTCCAGCTCTTAAGTTTCCAAATTATTTTTGGTTTGGGTCAACATTAAGGCTATCTAAATGTTACCGTTTCTGTTGAGCATCATGTCATAGCTATTATAGTATGTGATTTTCAGGCTTGTTCATACTTGATGTGCTACTTTTTGCTAATCATGTGCATCAACAGTTCTTCTACACGTTAACATATTTTGAGGCTGTGTAGGAGTTATGTGCCAGAGGGAGTAAATCTAGCTATGTATATAAGGTGAATTACAAATGCAGATTATACATGTGAGAATCAGGGACATTCCATACCAAAATACTTCACTTAAGTGACCTATTTGAAGAACTCCATTAGTTTGGTAATACCAGGCGTTATCCATTGTATACATCAGCTCATGGAGGGCTGAATTAAGACATACTTATCCAACTGATATATGTACTTTCTCTCCAAAAAAAAAAAAAAAAAAAATCCATTCCAGCTGTCTGATACTCACCCAGTCTTAAGTCAGGTTTCAGACTCTTTTCTTTGCAGGCTTGTATCAAAAACAGCACCTGTTTTTTTGTTTTGTTTGTTACCTTTGGTGTCAAACCTACTGGGCACCTTTCCTATGAATTGAAAGAGGAATGGTGTTAGTGGACAGAAGTCCGTGCCATCTTCAAGCACAAAAGTTGCTTAACACTCATTTTCTGTTTTGCACATAGAAATTGAACATGTTTATGTTTAGGTGTGTGACTGGAAAAGCATTCAGGTGTGTCAGCATTCAGTCTGTGAAACTCAGGGACTTCGGATAGCTATTCTGGTAAATTTTCACAGAGTGGCCCATATGGTAAAATCTTGAAGTCCCCATTAAAGTCATTGACCAAAAGGTCTCTTGGAGTGTCAGGAATAAGACTGAACCTCAAATTTCAAGGCCATAGTTTTGTGGCTTTTGCAAACTGCAATTAAATTCAGATTCATTACCACCTGAGGAGCTAGAATGTACCTAAGTCTATTAGAAGCAGTGAGATGTATCCCAGAGTCCTGAGGGAATTGGCTCAACTACTGATGTAGTTGTCAGGGCACTCTTTATGGTATTTGTAAAGTCACTGTAGTCATGAATTCACCATTGTATTGGTGAAGCCCCAGGTGACTGGAAGAAGGGAAACATGGTATCCATCTTTTAAAAGGGTAGAAAAGAGAACCCTGGCAACCGGGGACCTCCCAGCCTTACCACCTGCCTGGGAATATCATGGAGCAGATCCTCTTAGGAGCTGTGCTCTGGCGCATGGAGAACAGGGAGATGATTCAAGACAGCCAGCACAGCTTCACCAGGGGCAAGTCCTGCCTGACCAACCCAGTGGCCTTGAATGATGGAGTGATCATGTTAGTGAACAAGGGAAGGGCTACAAAATGTCGTTTATCTGAACTTCTGTAAAGCCTTAGACAGAGTTCCTCACAACATTCCTCGTTATTGCAGAGAGATGGATTTTATGCATGGACTGGTAGATGGATAAGAAATGGTTGGGTGGTCACATCCAGATGGTAGTGGTCAATGGTACAGTGTTCTGATAGACATCAGTGTCAAGTGGTGTCCCTCAGGGGTTCATACAGGGATCAATACTATTTAATGTCTTCTTTAATGACATGGATGAAGGGATCAGATGCACCCTCAGGAAATCTGCAGGTGGCAGCCAGCTGAAGGATGAGATGGCATCCAGAGCGACTGGGACAAGCTAGAAAAGTGGGTACATGGGAATGTCAAGAGGTTTAACAAGACCAAGTTCAGCATGCTGCACCAGGGTCAGAGCAACCCCTGGTATCAGTCCAGGCTGGGGATGAGCAGATGGAGAGCAGCCCTGGGGAGAAGGACTTGAGTGTGCCGGTGGCTGAGAGGCTGGACATGACTCAGCCATGGGCACTCCCAGCCCAGAAAGCCAAACGTGTCCTGGGCTGCATCCAAAGCAGCGTGGGCAGCAGGGGAGGGAGGGGATTCTGCCCCTCTGCTCTGCTCTGCTGAGAGCCCACCTGGAACCCTGCACCCAGCTCTGGGGTCCCAGCACAGGGTGGACATAGACCTGTTGGAGCGAGTCCAGAACATGGACACCAAGGTGATTAGGTGGATGGACCACATTTCCAGTGAAGACAGGTTGAGAGAATTGGGGTTTTTTTTTCAGCCTGGAAAAGAGAAGGTGTAAAGGTGACCTAATTGTGGCCTTCCAGTCCCTGAAGGCATCCTACAAGTAGTTTTTGCAAGTGCATATAAAGAAAGGACAAGTGGCAATGGCTTCAAATTGAAAGAGATTAGGTTTAGACTATATGTTAGGAAGAAATTCTTTACTGTGAGAGTGGTGGGCACTGGAACAGGTTGCCCACAGAAGCTGTAGATGCCCATTCCTGGAAATGTTCAAGGATAGGCTGGATGGGGCTCTAAGCAACCTGGCCTAGTGAAAGGTGTTTCCACCCATGGAAGGAGTTGCCAGGGGTGGAACTAGATGGTCTTTAAGCTCCCTTCCATGGCTATTTCATGATTCTATGTTCTCAAAAAGGCACAAACCACAAATCCCAAAAAATTTCTTGAGAAAATGACTGTAATCTCAAAACACACATTCTGTATTTTTTTCTTAGGTGGAATTTCTGCTGAAGATTCTCACATTATCATTGGCAGATACAGGACTTTCTTGATCAGAGACTGCTTGCTTGCTGATATTAGCTGGATGTCTTTACTCAGCATATTAATGTATGTGTAGAGGGGTCAAACAATAATTCCATCTCATTTCTCTCTCTTTGCAGGCCCTCTACAATTCAATCAAGAATGAGAAGTTGGAATGGGCAGTGTAAGTATACTTTTGTTGTAGAAATTAGAAGTTTAACAGTAATACCTGTGTAGTACTCTGTTTATATGTCCTATGTCACCGTCTTTGTGGGCTCCAAAACCTGTAGAAGATAGCCAGCATACATAATGAGTTTGCTTTTTTTGCTAATGAATGACCTGGCAATACAGCTCATCTGTTTCTCCAGCAAGGGAAGTTGTTAATGAAAGGAACCAACTGCATTTGTAAGGAAAGAGGACATTTCATTTAGTAGGAAACTCCAGCCTGAAAAGAGAGAAATTAAATCCTCTGTTGTTCTATGGCTGCATAAATAAAACAGAAGTTGACGTCTCCCTTTATCTTTCTGTTCATTGTGTCAGAACCGCTGAATAGAAGCACACTTCTTGGATTGAGTTTCTTGCTGTTGGTTTATTGTCTTGGTTTGTCTCCTGATTAAGTATGGATAACTTGACAACAACCTAATGTGAAAGATGATAAATGGACAAAGTCTGATATCACTCCCTCCAATCCTTAGTTGCTTTTGACAGGCTAACATTTGTTAACTATGTAAATGCTGCAGACAAGAAAAACTTCAGTTTCTGATTGTGTTAAACTGACATTTCTCTGTGCTTAGGTTTCATGTGGTCTAGTTATGCTAGGAAAGGGCAGAAATGTCTACTTTTGATTTTACCACTTGCAGAACAGTGGATTTTGGTATAAAATAGGAAAACGATATATTTTAGCTATAAAAGAGTATTTCCCTGCTTGTATTTACATACCTGAAACCTCACCTTCTTGGGAACAATGTCGGGAATGCATGCTCTCCTGCACCTCTTGTGCTAGAATTTCTAGCAACTGCCATAGGTCTTGCAGGCCCAGTGGCTTCTGATCTTCATTGTTTTAAGTTCATGATCTGCAAACAAATTTCTTGTTAGGGTGTGCAGCCTCACAAAGGCAGCTGGTTCCAAGTGGGATTGCTGTCCCACTTCAGAAATGTGTTAGGTGGTGTCAGAGTAGTAAAGAAGATATGCTTTTAATGGGAATCAGCAAGAAGTGCCGTCTCTGATGAGCATTAAAAGTCGTGGTGGGAGACATTTTCACAGACTGTGTCTTGGAGCTGGATCTTACGTGTCACATCAAAACTGTTTGCCAGACACTGTCACAGGTACTTTAGAACCAGCAGGATCCATGTGACTTTCTCAATGTCAGAATTCTCTTCCAGCTCTTGCCAAGAAACTATACCATGTCTAATACACTTGGGCAGCCTCCAGGTGGCAACTGGCTCTGCTCCTGTGAACCTCAGTCAAGGTGATTTATGAGATTTTGCTGCTGTATAGGTGGTAACTGCTTTGGCATTTACATAGTCTATTCCATGTCCTTTGTTTGGGGGAAAATTCCAAACAGGCTGGAAGAATGATAATTCAGACTCTTTCTTAAATTAGGCTTTGGATGGATATAATGTATATATATACAGGAGAATGCTCAAAGGTGCCAGTTGTTGGCTCCAATCTGAGACTAACATGTAGCTAGGACTGATGTTACAATTCATTTCCATGATGAAAAACAAAGCTCATTCTGGGCATAGTCATTACCTTTAGAGCTTAGGGTACTGCCTGGAAGAGGAAATGTGAAGATGTTTCTCTTCATTTTTATAGAGATGTGTGGTTGGTGTAAAGTAATAACCTCAAGAAGCCCTGGGGCTGCCTGAGCTTGAGGGAGGAGGCACATGTATCTCTTGCTCTGCTGTTGTGATCTGCAGAGAAAGCTGAATGGGAAGGAAACATGGTCAGTTTTGTTCTGGTGGGACCAAAGAAAATCCTGTCTCCCCTCCAAAGACTATCCCTTTGCTTCCCTGATGCGCTTGGCAGGGTAAGAAGAGGGAGGTAAGGCAAAGGTGAAGATAGGACTTCAAACCCCAGTATAAGCTCTCCTGCAGTGCTGGCATTTTGAAGGAATGCCTTTCCTCCAGACAGCAATCCTTTGAGGATCTAAGACGCTCATCAGCTAAGCGAAGGTTTAAGAGCTGCTCTGGAACTACATTATTTGGTGGATTAATGGAATCAGTAAGTCCATAGGCAAGAAAGGGTAATGGTGAAACATACGATGGGGAAGGACAGCTATCCAATCTGTATCTTACTAGTTGTGAGCTAGGTGTTTGCAGTTTGCAGTTTGCAGTACATTTCCAGTAGAATTATAGTCTGATCCAAAGCCCACGCAAAGAAAAGGCTACTATTGACTTCAATTTTGTAATCATGAGAAGTGACACCTTAATCAGCAGATGTTCTCCAGAGACTTTCAGTAGGAGTGTTCCTTTATCCTTTTTGAAAAGCATGAGTACAGCTCTGAAGAGAGAATTGCATTACAGTTCTTTTTCTACAGTAGTGCCTGGTTCAAGTTCTCCACAAAGTTAAAAGTGAATCACATATCATAATCTGTAAAATAAAGAGATCTGACCTGGAATTTACACTGAACTGGTGAATGTGGGATCCTGAAACCACACTTCTGCTCCACACTGCAAGCTCCGAAGGTGTGAACTGTTCTTCATGTCTGTTGTGGATGGCCTTAAATTTGAAACAAGGGAAATTTTACAACAACCTTTAAAAGGTTTTCTATTAATTTAAACCAAGGTTTTATCCAGACAGGTTTGTCTGGATAAAGTACAGAATTGCTTTCATTGAAGGTTTTTGTGAACTGGTTGTTCTGTCTGGAATGGGTTAGGAAGAGAAGATCCAGCCATAGAGTCAAAGAGATAGATTGCCTGGCCTCCTAACATCCCTTCATTGTCTTTAATACTATATCCCAAGGTTTTTAGGTGTTTCTCATTCTTTGGCTTTCACACTGATCATTGTCAGCTTTAAGCTGAAAAAGAGAAATCCATTTGATTACAAAGGTGCCAGATCTAAATATTTTTTATTTGCATTATGTCTGCATGGAAATGTCATGGTGGTCATTATTGTTTTCCTTTGTTTGTAATACTGTGTCTGTTTACTGTTGAAAGTAATAGGAATAAAAAAATCATCATCTTAAAATAGGTGATCTAGAATTAATATATGAACTCCCAAAGCACTGCTTACAAAATTGCTAAAGCCAAATGGCTGCATTTGGGCCCAAGAGCCTCCTCTCAGCAGAACAGTGTAGTTTTCAGGAGAATCACTTGGTTTTTAACTAGCCAGTGATATACTTCTCTAACCAGAGAAGTTTACAGGGACATGGTATATTATTTTTTTGTTTATCTGGACTACACTGACAAATTATCTCCTTTCAGCCAAAACAACACAGGTAATTCAGATAGTGATGGTGGGAAAGAGGTGCTGCCAAATCGAACTCTGATGCTGAGATCAGGGTAGTTATAAAGACATCTGTGCTGAAGCTCACCTTTTTCTAGATCAAACTGAGAAATCTTCCCCTATTATAATTAACTTTTGTCTCCCAAGTTCTAGGATGTTTCCTGTTTGCAACTTCTTGATTGGTTTTAGGGCGGGGTCATGTATTCAGCCTGGTTCCCTTTCTTCCTCCTCACACTGGAAAGATGCCAAAACTTCTCTCAAGTCAATTTCCTAATACAGATGCTGTTAGTTTCATGGATGCATGTTACAAACCTGAAATTTTTTTTCAGTTGCAATATTTAAATAGATGAACTCAGCCTTCTTCTGTTGTCATATAAGGTTGCTATTTGAACAAATGCAGAGATGGAGCAGAGTTTTAAAAATGAAGGGCTTGACCACATCGTTCCAGATCAGTGATTTCACAATTTTCTGAGGCAGAGCCTCAAATCAGACCATAGATTGCACAGAAATAATTTTGTTACTGAGAGAATTGGATGATGCTTTTCTCGCAGAAGACAGAAATGGGACTTCCTTGTATAGGATCTTCTTGGGAGAGGCAGAAAATGCTTTTCTTCACCAAAATGGCAACATCTGGATTTTTCTTTTTTTCACATCTATGTGTTTAAGAATAAGGGGCAAACTCTTTCTAGTTGTCAGTTATCTGTATTTGGGAAGGAAAACATAGCTGTTTCAATGCTGTGACTGCAAGTGGTAGCACAAATATGTCCTGGGTTTGGTGTGCTGGTTCTCATGGGCAGCCAGAGGGCTGGTTACTGCACTCTCTTGAGGTCGTTTGCCAAAGAGATAGGCTTACAGAAGTGGAACTGAAGCTTCTTGTTTTGGGAAGCCTTGCAAACACCATGTGCCATAAGCAGAATCTTAGAGAAGCTCTATACATGGTAACCTTTTCCTGTCACTAGTAAGAGACACTGTGGATCCCATTTCCTATGAATGGAAAGTGGGACTTAAAAAAAGTTTTGCAGCTATCAACCCTCTTCAGTCATCAGGGAGGAGTCGCCAGAGAAATTGCTTCCAGACCCAGAGCAGGGAATGATTTACCTCTGCTGATCAGGGTCAGAAAATCTCATAAGACTTCTGCAAGCCTAATTGAACCTTCATGATGATGTTTTGCCTATTGAAAGGTGTTTTGGAAGGATTGTGTGTTTTTTTCCCCTAAAGGCATAAGTATTACGTTACTTCCTGTATGAAATGGAAAAGAGAGGCAGTGGTCCTGTCCTTCAAAAGGACCTGAGCTAATGCCTGTGTGACACCATGTTCACGACTCTGAACATACCTGCACAGAGATCGCCACTGACTCTTACCCACATCACTGGAGGCCTTCACACTGGGGATATTACAGCACATGGATGATCTGTGAGAGCCATCTGAGGATGGGCAGGTAGTCACACTCCCCACAGTTTAGGGTTTCAAACAAAGATCAGTTTTCATGTTTATGTATCCAGAGGCTCCCCTGAATTTTCTGCAGTTCTTTCTTGCAAAAGTACCCTAAAGGCTTGTTAGAAGTAAGCTCAGATTGTTAAATCCCTGATAAACAGTATTTGTGACCTATCTATTCAGCCAGCTTTGGAAGATACCTGAGGGAAAGCTAATACCTGAACATTTTTTGCTACTTTGACATTCCTCCAAATTATCTTGCTTTCTTCTTATGTTTGACCACTGAAGTAACATGGAGTATTTGAGCAAATGAGTCCCAGATCGCCTGGTTTTCATCCACTTCTTGTTTGTAATGAGTCCTTCCTGCCTCTTTGTCTCTCTTCATTGCCTCTGGCAGATTGATTTCTGCATCTTGCCCTCATGCATCTTGTCAGAGCACTCAGCTCTCAGAAATGTCTGAAGCTTCTGAGTTTCAAAGAAGTCCCATTTTCATGATAGAACAAAAGACCAGTTACAGGTTTGTTTAGTGCTGCCGGCAGTTGTAACAGCAGATGCTATTTTGTCCTTTCCACCATGTCTTTTGAGGAATTCCTGTTTTAGCAGCTCCCCTAGAAGAGTTGAGTTTAAGAGCACTGCCCCCAACTCTTACTGGTGTCCGGGATCCCCCCCAGGATTCCTCATCACACCACTGTGGCTGCTTGGTTAAGGGCAGTAGTATATTCCCACAGGACAAGTGATCAGTGTACAGTAGTTCATTCTCATAGCTCCAAAGGAGATAGCTTATTCCAAGAAAGTGTTAAGCCTTTTACTGCAGTTGGTCTCTGCTGACAAGGAGAAATCTGCTGTGTCCTTGGCTGAAATCCCAGAATTCACAAGGCACTTCTGTGTGACAAATCAGCCTGTGTGCTTATGCCCTTTGAGAGATTTTAGTCTGGATTAAGTGCCTCAGACTCACGTTGAGAGAATTTGCTTCTGGAATGGACATGTATCTAAGAAACACATAACACACAGTGGTTCAGACTTTCCAGCAGCTAGCGAGTAGAGCCATGTAGGGTGGGGACAAACAAAATTGTCAGAAATGCCTACACCTTTTCAACTTGGAGGGGGCTTCAACTAAAGCATACTTGAATAAGTCCTTATTGCTTTGACTAATAAAAAAAATTTGTAGAACTTTCTGTGCTGGAGTGGGAAAGCACACATCAGTAGACTAAAGATGCAAGTACTGCTCTTCCTTGCAGGAATTAGGTCTTGAAGTAAAAGTTTCATTCCTCTTAATTAGGAGATCTTGCAAGATAACATCATGAAGGTATGGTGCACCTCCTGACTATATTTCTGTAATTTATATGAGATGACGAAAATTGAATGCTTGGGAACATTCCCTGCTGCTACAGAGCTCACTAATACAGACTCCATGTTTCTGGATTTGTTTTCCGTGTTGTCAAACCAGTCTCTTAGCCTTTTACCTCCTTAGACTAAGTTATTCTCCCGAAGACCATTTCATAGAGTCATAGAATAATTTTGATTGGCATCATCTAGTTTGGAAAAGACTTCAAGATCATCAAGTGGAATCTCTGACTGAACATCACCCTTTCAACTAGGCCATGACACCAAGTACCATATCCACTTGTTTCTTGAACACTTGCAGGGATGGTGACTCCACCATCTCCTTGGGAAGTTTGTTCCAATGCTTAACCACCCTTCAGTGATAAAATTTTTCCTGATGCTCAACCTGAAGCTCCCCAGGCACAGCTTGAGGCTATGTCCTCTCATCATTCACTGGTTGCTTGGGAAAAAAGGCCAACCCCCACCTGGTTACAACCTCCTTTCAGGCAGTTGTAGAGGGTGATAATCAGCCTCCTTCGCAGCAGAGCTGAGGATAAGATAGATTTGTTGCTGTAGCCCATAGTTCTTGGAGGACACTTTTTTGAATGGTCATTCCCATAAGCAGCCATGGTAGCAGTGTATTCCTAAAGGAGCTTCCGGATTGATATATGCCTTGCTAATCGCCACCTGATACATGCCTTTGGACATACAGATGCGTTTGGAAGATCTGCTTGAGCTTGCTCTCTCTGCCAGTCATCTGGGTCCAGCGAGATGCATCAAGTTGAGATCCACCCCCAGTGGATTAGCAATACTAGCCATCATTACACTCAAGTGATTTTTTTTTTTTAAATCAGATGCTGGTCTCAGGAGGTGTTGCTACCACAGTTTTCCAATGACAGCCTTCATGCTCCCTGACACGCCTTTCCTAGTCACCTGGAGGGGAATGTATGTGGATTTCAAAGGATGAAGGGTTGCTCTGTAATCTGGCCTGTTCTCTGAAAACTGTTGTCCTACTCTTGTGATGGACACCCTTTACTTTCTGGGTGGCCTAGTCCTTTTTAGCCTTTGCCTCTGACAAGCAAAAAGGCATTTATTAGTCAGGCAGTGCTTGTGACTTGCATTGTTGTCCCTAAGAGCTCTGTGGAATACATTGCCCTAATAAGTAACATTTTCAGCAGCATTTTGTTTCCAAAGTAAAGATGACCTAATTCACCTAGTGTGGTTTTTATTTTTAAATTACTAATTTTATGCTAGTCTGCAGAGGAAAATAAAGAAAAATAGGTGGAGTTTGTGCTTCATATGCTAAGTTAAGGGGTAAACCACAGTGATCTGTATATTTTATTTCTTTTCATCTACATGGGAGCTCATGAAGAAGTTGGGGATTTTTCAGCTGAACCCAGCAGACAAATATTTCCCATTTTGGTACTCAAATAAATGGAATTAAAAGTAGAAAAAGTTGGAGGACACAGAACATTCTTGAAGTCTAATGTTTCAAAACAATAATGGAAACTTGGGCTTTTTGAAAATCTGTGTCCTGTACTGATGAAGTAGGTGAACTGAAGCTTTGCTGTAATATGTCTGTATTTTGATATATTTCTAGATTTCTCCCTAAATATGGCCCCCTATAAAGAGAGAGGTATATTTTGACAAGGAGTGTTCAAAAATTGCTGAAGTGAAACTTTGCTGATCAGTCCATCCTTCATGCATGATTTTCACTGCTTTTTAAGGGATGAAGAAGAGAAAAAAAAATCTCACTCGGATGGTGCAGATGAAAAGGATAATGGGAACCAGACAAAGGCTGTCAGTCGAATTGGCAATTCAAATAACCCATTCCTGGACATCCCTCACGACCCCAATGCTGCCGTGTATAAAACTGGATTTCTGGCTCGGAAAATCCATGCAGATATGGATGGAAAGAAAAGTGAGTAATTTTTCGATCCTAATGTGTTATTTTCTTGTTATGTCTTCACAATGCCACTTGCAAATGAGCCCATATACTTTTCAAGGTTAATATTGCTGCTTCATTAGGGGAAATAGCAGCAATAACAGGAAGACAACAACTGAATTGTCACACTCTCACTATTAGGCTAGAATTTACAATGCTCAGTCCCATTTGCAGCAGCTCTAATGCATAAGTATAAGAAGTAACGTGATACAGCAAAGCCATGTGAATTTTTGGGCTAAAAGAAAATTAATGTAGTGGTTTACAGATAAAAATAATTTCAAGTGAATTACAGTAGATGTTCTGCAGTAATTGATAATTCTCCTTTTCCTTATGTGACACCAGATTGTTCCAGATCTCCCCTCCTCTTAGTGTCTGTCTTTAAAGAAAGGGTGTTCTTTACCTCTGTTTAGAAGATACTGTTCCCTTCCATACTTTCCCTGCTTTGGGTCACATATCCAGTGAAGGGTGGCAGCTTTTGGCACCAGCCAGCTTTTTATATGCAGTTCCTTCCTGTCCCTTTCTTGTACTAATCCTGCTCTGTCTCTTACTTACTTTAATAATTTTTTCCCTTCTTGTCCTGCTCTGTCTCTTACTTACTTTAATTATCTTCTTCCCTTCTTGTCCTACTTCTGTTTGTGATGCACTAATTATCAAGGGCCTCTGATGCATCTGAGTGTGTTTTGTTGTTTGGATATCTTCATTTCTTGTCTATAGATCTTGGAAAAAGCTGAGCTTAGTCAGAGCATCTGTGTTTTCCCCAGTAACTGTTGATGATTGCCTACTCATGATTCACATTGGTGGGCTAAGTCCCGAAGACAAAGTCTGGCTTCATGATGGGTTTCCAGTGACAGCCAGTCTCTCCTAGGCTAAGCTCTTTGGTGTTCACATGTTTTGCTAATCTATTTTAGGAGGTACAATTGGAGGTTGTATTTTCAAGATGGAAGCTAACAGCTGGACAACTGGATTCAGACAGAGGTGTCAAAATCAAGCTGACCTAATTCTTTATGATGACTGAATACTCCAAATAGGCTTGTCTTTATTAAACATCCTCTTATGCAGCCTTAATAAGTAATTGTATCTAGTTGCCTATATTAAATTATTTCTTTAATTATAAATACCAGAATTGCTCATTGTTTAACACACTGGACACTGGCATTCTGGAGATAACTCTTTTATGATTAATGTAATTAGGGCCATGTTTTCAGAAGTTCCTGTATAATTTAAAGGTCTGCCGTTCTCAAAAAAGTTGCATTCTGACTTTCCAGATGCTAATAAAACTTTGTTTGTTTGTTTTTGTTTGTTAGACCTTTTCATATTTCATTTTCTAATGGAGTTCTTGCAGAACAGAGATTAGCTTGTGTGGGATTTCTGATGAATTTATGTGCTAGAATGCTCATCTGTATTTTCTCAGGAACCTAGTTTCGAGGGCTAAAGCACTTAGATACTTAGAGGAGAAGGATGTAGCAGTGGCCAATGGCTGGAAACTTAACTGAACAAATGCCAGTTAGAAGTAAGGCCTGTTTTGCAAGATGAGAATGATTAACCTCTGGGACAAGGGACTTGTAACCTCTTCATCTTCACTTTCTGTCTTCAGATCAGAGTGGGATGCCTTTCTCAGTGTCATTCTTTAGTTGTATATGTATTAATTTCGGTATAGTGTCAGTGATGCACTGTATGAATGTTGGTCACCGGTGTGTGCTTGTTGGGGAGTGAGCTTAGATGTGGGCTTCTGGTCTCTGGTGCTGTGACTGTACAGCCTGTGCCTAATTCTCTCCCTCTGTCGCACCTGAATTTTAGACTGGATCCTTCAGCCTTTATGTTCAATTTACTTCCCCCTGCCCCACCACTGCTTGTCTCTAGGAATTTATGAGCTAGATACGTTGTCTCTGTTCTTCAACCTCTAACTGGCTTTCTTGTGGGGTTGGGTATTTTATGTATGATTTTATTTTATGTATGGTTGGCACCCTTCTCCTTTCTCAATGTCACCTTGGCGGTGCAGCAGCAGTAAAGGGGAAGGATGCTCTGGGGAGACACTGCTTTCTGTGTAGTATCCCCCTGGTTCTAAGCAGTTCCTGCCAGCCTGCTGTGGCATGCAGAAAGACTGCTTCTTTCTGAAAACTGCCGTGATGCAGAGCTCAAATGTAGTTGTGTGGGGCAATGTCTGCCTGTCTTCAAGAGGATAAAGACTGGATCTCTGTGGCTCTCTGTGGCCTTCATTCTGCATTGCTGCTGTTCCTCCCTGATCCAGTCCAGGGCTGTCATTAGGGTTGTTGTATTACTTTCTCTCACAGCAGGTACATGAAGGCACTGTGCTATGTTGCACTGTCCTTTGAGAAAGATAGTTTGAAGGAGGTTTAACACAGGGCTAATGTAGCTCTCCTGTAGGGTATACAAAGTGTAAAAATGGATCTGATCTAAATGGGTTTTTATTTGTTTTCTTTCCAGCTCCCCGGGGAAAACGAGGCTGGAAAACCTTTTATGCTGTGCTGAAGGGAACAGTCCTGTACTTGCAGAAGGTAGGGGAAATCACTGTCTTTTGAAAACTAATTAAAGAGGCATAAAGCAGCATGCATCCTCTCTACTCTCTCAGCGACCTCCAGGCTCCTTTCCCTCGGACGCACAGCATGGCTGATATCTCTACCCCCACCCTATTAACACACACATTCAGACATGAATCCTCTCATTGACACCCTTTCCCTTTTCACAATTTCAAGTTCAGTTCCACTGCTGCATCCACACGTGCACCCTGTAGTTCCAGTGTATGCTACTGCTGTCTGACATAGCTGAAAAAACCAGCCAGCTTCACCAGGAAAGACAGTGTCACCTCTCTGTGTCATGCACACATTCCTCTAGGCTGCTTTTAATTTTGCGTTTCATATGTATGACTTGCCCTTCTGTGAGGTTGTCCTCCTTTCCCACCTTTTCATAGTACACTTTTCTGCAGTGCCTGCAAGACCAGCTGCAAAACAATTGAACAACAGCTTGGCTTTGGTAGGAATCTGCAGCTGCTGTTCCTTTGCAAAATTGAAGGATAAAAGGATACTTTTTCCCCCACAAAGCAAGAAAGGACTGGTTTCTAACAAAATGTGCTTCCTGACAGCAAAGTGTCTAAAAAAAAAGTCAGATGAAACCCTTTAAGCCTTTTGTTGCAAGCTTAAGTATATTATAGTACATTTTAACTACACTGTTGGAGCATAAAATGCAACATATGAGTGAGAACTGTCAAAATCAAATACATGGCAGCAACTAAGTAGGTTGTTAAGGCTTTTTGCCCTCCAATATAGATGAATATTCATGGAATAGATGCAGCTTGTCCAGACTACCCTATATTGCAGAAGTATGCTTCTTTGAAAGCTGTTTTACATTTTCACTCAAAAACTGATAGTTTTGTAACTATCGGGACTACAAGTCCATACTGCTATTTCCTCATCCCCTGCTGTGGCTTTCTGAAGTTGTTGGTTTCACTGGAGCCAGCCTGTATAGTCTCTTGAGAAGAAAGGGTGATTTGAATCAGATTATTATAGCATGAGGTTTATAAGGTGAATGCTCAGGATGCAGTACCTTTTTGAGGCGGCTGAAATCCTGAAACAGACTAAAAAAATCTGTGGTCACAATAGAAGATTTGGGCTGTTGGATGTGATACACTCAGAGCCAGTGCAAGAGACTAAAACCTAGTCCACTGAAGCCCAAGTCCTTTTGCTGGGAACACATTCAGGTATTACTAAAATGCCTCCATGGCAGGCTTGTACTTGCCCTTTTATGACCAAAGTGGATTCATCTACTTGAGTTTCTGAGATAAGTAATCTTAATGTTCACCTGAAAAAACTGCATGGTTCTCTGAGAAATGAGAAGACTCCTTTTTTATAATACAATATTTAATTCCTTATTTGATATTCAAGGGAAAGAACTGAGTATACTGTCTATTTTAGCACTTTAATTAAATATTTTTATGAGTATTGCTGGCATATTAGTTTAAAATGCTTTCTGTTTAATAAAATGTAGAGATGTTGATGTAGCATGCAAATTTCCTACAGAATGCTGCCCTTCCCCCTGTTACCCTCCATGCTTTCAGGAGCAGGGAGTAATTTCACATATGACTGCATCTTTGCAGAATGAAATACATTGTTGGAATTCTTGTTCATATTTGTTTGTCAGATGTGTGTTTTGCACTTCTCAGACACTTGAATTCAGTGGTTACAGGGCAGTACTCCGCAGAGCTGCATTCTTCCATTTGCATGGGAGCCATCCATTGCATTGAAGCCATCTTACTGTAGCACACTACCAAGCAAGGCTTTTGCTTTTGTGCTGGGAAAGATTGACTGAAGGGTGTGATGGGAGGTAGCTCATTGCAAGAGTGATGAGGCAGCTGTGAGCCTCCCCGCAATGCCTCTGGCCTCTGCTCAGCCACATGCTGCAGCTGTGAAAAAGCCTGTGATTTCAGCTTCAGAGGGTCTGCCAGGGCTTTCCTTCAGCTCTCAAATAGACTTTACTCTCTTAGGGATGTAGTATCATAGAAGGTGAAGGTGCCAGAGTTAAAAAATACACAGCTAGGCCAAGTAGTTATAGTAAAGGTTGCTGAGCTGCTGTTTCCTTCTGTAGGGACTGAAATTATTCTAATTTTAGGAAGTACTGAAGCATTTTAGAACAGTTTGATTTCTTTGCAGAAGTGCATAGTTCTGGAAATAGTCCTGGCAATAGTCCTGGTCAAAGGATTGCCTTGTCTCAGTTCACCTCAGTTCTCTCCTGGTTATAGAGAAGGTGAAGCTGACATAGTGCAGTAGGCTGGGGTGCATTCACAAGCATGTCCTCTTTTTCTCATTCCCTATATACCTGTGGAGATGACATCTGTGATGGTGGTTTCATTGCACTGTTCAAGCAGGATAGAGAGAAATCTCACTGTACAGGTGCTGTGTACACACAAACACATGTACAAACCTCTGCAGTATTGCTTTCTGTGTTCATCTGTAACTCAGCTGTTCCCTCAAGACACTATTGTAATATAAATATTAATTTTTCATAGCAGCTGTGATTCTCCCAGTGGGCAGTGTGATCCCAATTCTGCTGTCTCTCTATTTGCATTGCTGTTCTCCTTGTTTTGCTGTCAAAGGCCATGAATGAGAGTGTTTTGTAAATGGTGGTCACTTGAGATTTACTGAGGATTTTTCTGGACCACCATGTCTCCCTGCCCACTTTTTTTTTTCCCATTGGAATTATTCCAGTGCTAATTCCTGTGGTGTGTATTGTTTTGTTCTTAAATAAGTGATTTAGGAGAGATGCTTTCTAAATTAATGAGCACAGAGAGCACTGGAGGAGCTCAGTGGAAATGTTCACAATTAGCCAACTAAACGTGCCTGCGCAGTATTATATAAAATAAGAAGTTTGACATGTTTGGGACATTGGCTGTGTCTCTGGGCATCCTCAGGCTGAGGTTTATTTCCTACTCTCTGTTCATAGCAAGAGAAAATTGCAAAGTAGCATCTTGACAGAATGTCTGTTCACTAGACTGACGTGGGATGTGATGTGCGTATATAAGAGAAGCTTATAAGGAGAGGACATAAGGCTGACCTCGCTTCCTTGCTAGAAATTGCTTCTGGGCAAACAGTACACGACACAAACCTTTATGTTTTGTTTCGACTCTTCTGTGAGGTTTGCAGCATATTTGCTCTATGATGTGGCACTTCATAATCTTGCAGGTTTCAGGTCTTTTAATATAAATTTTCTCAAATTTCCTCTGTTAAAAATTTAAAAAAAAATAGTGAAAGGCCAGACTGATGTAAAGTGTTTGGTGGTGAGAATTTTTGAAAGAGAATCTTGCAGCTGTCTTATGCAGCTGCTTGGAGATATCCATCCATGGTACACAGTGACTGATAAGAAAAGACAAATGTCGTTCTCTGGTTTACGAAAAAACGTGTTTAGAAATTTGCTGACTCTGGCTCATCAAGATGTGGGAAAGTCATTCTCCAGGAGTTTGAGAAAGATGGATTCAGCATGCCATTGCATTGTACACAGCACTCACATCAGCCTGCAGCTGACAAACAGATCAGTTTCTTTCTGGCTTCATATATGTTTCTTGCCACTGTCTAGGTCTACGAAGTCTAACTTTAGAGAGCTGCCTTCCATTTCAGCTCAACCTGAACACTGACACCAGCACATCACAGCACATGCTGTCCTTGACGGCTTAGGCAAAAATGGATGTTCCTACTCCCCTAGCATTCCCTGCCAGTCAAAAAGAGTTGAAGGCCTTGGAGAAGGAATTTTGGCAGTACATTCATGTCCTTACAGCTTTCTCTGAGGCTGGCAAACTACGTGGAGACGTTTCCGGTATGCTGATCAGTGCCTTTGGAGAAGCTGGCAGAGCCCCAGCTGTCATGGTAGATTGCAGGCAACTGATCTGGTGGGATTAGCAAGGATTACCATGAATGCTTTCTGTTGGAAAGTAGGGTTTATCAGCCAGGGCTGCTTCTGGGACTGCCCAAATGTGGACTTCTTCTGAAACAGGTTTAGTCACCAGAGCAAGCTGTAGACATTGGATGCAGCTCACAGTGGAAGCTAGAAGGCAACAAGCTAAGTGATAGCTGACCCTGTCTGTAGGCAGTAATACGAGGTAAGATAGAGTATCGTATGTCTGAGGCCTGTCGTTTCCTGTCTCTGAGGTTTTCCCAGTCTTCCTGGACAATGGAGCCAGTCATTTCCCCCAAAACTACCACCAAATAAATCAGCTTGTTAACCCTTACAGGAAGGGGCTTGACCTGAGGCCTTGCCTCTTCCATCTTTAAGACAGGGTATGCCAGACTTCCTTGAAAAAGGTTTAAAGAAATGCCCTATGTGGGCATAGGCAACATCCTTCAAGAAAGACAGATTCCTCCAAATCTTGCTGAGTCTCAAATTATGAAAGAGGAAGGACATTTGTCTTTGCTCACTGCCAGCCCTTGTAAACCCCTTATATCACAGATCTTTAGGTTGGAGGCTGCCCTTTGGTCACCTGTGCAGTAATGCTCTGCCTGTGTGCTGGGCCTGCCAGACCTGTGGTGGGTTGTCCCCTTGCCTAGCTCCAGATAGAGGTGGTGGTGTGGCAGGACTGCAGGATAGCTGCCTCTTCTCAGGTTAAGTGTCTGAGCAGCAGTGTGGGAATTTGTGGGCCTAGCAGGACCTCCATCAGAAAGGATGAGACATGACAGAGGAGCAAGATGTTTTCTCCCACCTTCCAAGAGGTGGTCACCACAGCCGGTGACTTCCTATCCACTGAAACTCAACCTGGAGAGTCCCAGCCCAGCCTGGCTGAAAGCTCAGATACCTTTGGCAGTGTCATAGATTCTTTGGCTGCAGTCTTGTTTGGTGTGCTGCCAGAGAAGTTGTGTAAATGAATTCATGCACATTCTCTCAGGTGGGTGTCTCCCTGGATGTTGAAGCTATTGCTATCCCTGCACATACTCTGCACCTTGCACTATGTTTCCTGCTAAACCTTGTCTCACAAATTGTGTTCAAGTGCACGATCAGTAGTTACCATGTCTGCTGGGAGTTATTTCACTGCTTTGCAGCTGTCACACGTGGTGCATATTCCAGGTGAGACTGATTGCTGTGATACACTAAGGGGGAGAAATGGAGTCAGTTACAGACTGCTTTGGCCTGCCCTTCAGAAGAAAAGTGATGCAGCCTTGCTGGAAAATCACTTTTCTTTCAGAAAGCTCCTGGCTTTCCCAAGCTGTTTATAGTCATGTGGGCTTTGGATGAAACTTGTGGCTACATTATGCCCTTGTCCAGCTTCTGTCAGTCAGAAGATCTTCTGCTTCCAGGCTGATGCTTGCAAGACAAGAGCCCCTGTTTTTGTCATCTGGTGTTAGGAGTTACCTACTGTTACCATGTCAGAAACTCAGATAGAACTGTGCTTGCCTTTTGTAGACCCTTGTCAGAGAGATGTAAGGGAGTTTGCTGTAATTTTCTATGTGGACATGGTAAGGAGGCTTCTGCAGTGTGTGAAGGCTTGCCTAGGAGCACCTACAAAGGTAATTGGTTGAGAAAAATCAAAATCAGGCAGTAGAGGCTGAGAGCCTAAGTAGCTGAGCAATGGAGTTGGGGAGCTGATTATGAAGGATTCTTGAAATGAAGATAAGTAATCCACAGCTGTTGTCATAGTCAAATACTTCCTGCTTACATCTCTTCCTGTCAAGCAGATAGTAGAACTATTTCTCTCCCTTGGAAAGACATCAAAACAGAGAAAAAAGAAAGAAAGAAAGAAAAAGAAAACATGTTAAAGGTAGCAGAAACCACAAGTCAGGTTGCGCTTAGTTCATGTACTCTGTTGCTATTTCTGAACTCTGGGATAAGGTTCCCTAGTCTAAGGAAAAAGGAATAGTACATGCAGAAATTGAATGCCATAAATTTTCTCCCTGCTATCTCCTTCAGGATGAATATAAGCCAGAAAAGGCTTTGTCGGAGGAAGATCTGAAGAATGCCGTTAGTGTGCACCATGCGCTGGCATCCAAGGCAACAGACTATGAGAAGAAACCCAATGTCCTCAAGCTTAAAACAGCAGATTGGAGAGTCCTGCTTTTCCAAGCCCAGTAAGTGCTCTCCTTGTGCCACTCATTGAGGAAAGAAAGCAGTGCTGAAGGAGGAATAAATTCCTGCCTGGACAGGTTAAAACAGAGGCTTAAGAGGTTTAATCTGTTTATTTGATCAACAAGATTAAGTAGTAATGTGATTAGTGTGCACAAGTAGTGCATGAGAATGAAGCATCAGGTTTTAAGAGGCTTTTTAATCTAGCTGAGAGAGGCATAACAAGATGCAGGAGCTAGATGCTGAAGCTCTAGGAAATTCAATTTGGGTACAAGGCACAAACTTATAGCAGTCAGGATGATTAATCATTGAATCAAATGACCAAAGGCAGTCTTGGATTGTCTGTCTTCTGATGTCATCAAGTCCTAGCTGGATGTCTTTCTAGAAGATATGCTGTGGTTAGAAACAAAGTTACTACATAATACAAGAGTGATTTTATAAAGTTTTTCATGCTGTGATATCCAGACATAACAGATGACCTGCCTTTTGCTTCTGAGCCCTTTTCTGCTAAGATCCATATTGAACCTCCTATAGGTCTGTTTTGTCCAGCACGACCGAGGCTTTAGGACACATGTCTGAATCAGGTCATTAGTTGGCTCTGTCAGCCTTGTTACTGGGATTGGATTAGAGAAAGATGTGTGCTAGGGTAAGGTATGGACCTAACCACAAGCCATCCTGAGGAACTTAGCACTAACTGCTTGCAAACATAGGCAGGAAGACAGATCACACGCCTAAGACTTGTCCAGTTTTGGTTATTCCGACTTTTTAAAATACTCTAGAAGAGATGGAAAGAGGTAGACAAGGCTGAGTCAGCAAGTGCTTAATATGTGTTGCATCCTCAGGAGCCAAGAAGAAATGCAGACCTGGATCAACAAGATTAACTGTGTGGCTGCTGTCTTCTCTGCACCACCATTTCCAGCGGCCATTGGCTCTCAGAAGAAGTTCAGTCGCCCACTCCTGCCAGCCACCACAACAAAGCTATCTCAGGTGAGACATTTTTATATAGAGGGTAGGTGATAATGATTTCTTTTTCAGTCCAGACACTGGATGGTGGTGGTCCTTGTCACTGTTTTATAGCTGTTGCCGCTAGCAGTCCTAGGAGGAGAAGGCTTGCATAATAAATCTCTGCTCATTTCCTCATGCAGGATTTGAAGTGGTGGGAGAAAAGGAACAGACTCAAATACAATTGATTTATGTTTTTGAAAAAAATAGTACCAGATAAAGAATTTTCTTCTTGTGCTTGTGTCCCTGCAGAGGACATTTCAGATACTGATTGATGGGTTTTTTTTGGATTTGAATGTTTATGAAAGCCACTCATTTCAAAAGGAGTGGACATACTCCTGGTTGTTGGCTTATTGAATTGATAAAAGGTGAAAGCTGATGCATCAGACAAGCATCAATTATATTTCTCCCACTAGATTTTCCAGACTCCCTTTATCAGCTCAGGGATTTCTTGTATAAAATATATTTATAAACTGTGTCTTTCTTGAATCTCTTCAGTCTCCCTTGTGATCACACAAGCTTTTAGCATCCTGTGGCAAGGAGTTTCACGGCTCTACTGTTTCTTGCACAAATGCACATATTTCCGCTGGTCTCAGACTAGCTGTATCAGATGCTTGTGCCCATAGCTTTTTGTATTTTGGGAGATGCAATGCCTGCCTGGAATTCCTCCTGCACTGGCAGGAGCATGATACTGACTGTGTTGATCAGATTGACAGAGTGACAGAGATTATACTATGACATCTTCCTGTAGTTTTTAAAGTGATCTGCCCATGTTGGATTGCTTCTTAAATGCATTTGTTGGGTTTTTTTTTTTTGTTTTTACTGTCTTCATAGCTTAGCAACTATCCTTAGAAACCACTGTCTCAAAATCTGTGTTTCTCTAAGGGTGTGGGTTTTTTTAGGTTGCCTGTGCTTTTTCTCTCTACATGACAGTAGCCTTTCTTCTTACACTGTGGTGACTGACTTACCATTTTTTGTTCTGAGTTAAAGTTTAAAATGTGTTATGTAAAAAAATGATACTAACTTGTCTCATCCTTTTGGTTTTAGTTTTTGCTCATGCATACATTTTTAAAAATACATTATGGTGCTTCCGTAATTTACCCCCAGTCACGAAGGGAAGATTTTTTACTCATTGTTGTTCTGTATATGATTGTTCCATTTAACATGTTGTTTTCTAGTCTCATTGTTTCCATTTAATCTGGAAAGGGAGAAGATAGATCACAACCCTGTGATTTGTATCTTGAAGAAGGAGAGACATGAAAAGTGGAATAAGATTTAGATAAGCAGAAGAATGTTAAGTGTTCAAAATAGATACATTCAAAGGCAAGCAGAAACATGTCTGCTTTCATCTGTCAGTGTGGAAAAGCTGCCAGCAGGCTGCTTCTCATGAAAAAAAAAATACAAATTTGTCAGATGCCTGTGGTTGATGTTTAGGATTTTATGGAATGAGTCGTGATGGACACTACTTCTTCAAAGGGTCTGTTCCTGGTCAGCCAGAAGTCAAGGTGCAGTGAGGACCTAGCATGGGTAAGGAAGAGAGGCTGGACATGATGACAGGTTGTGCAAGATCATTGTACCAGATTTTCTTTCAAAAGCAGAGCAGTGTATGATCTTGGTTAGTCCAGCCAAGGAGGGGTGTGACAAAGCTATATATAAAGGAACAGCCAGTCTAGAAAATACCTTCTAGGGTGTTAGTATTTTTTTGTTTTTTCTGAGAATGCACAGCACACACAAAAGCTCCAAAGATGGTGCCCTGGAAATTACAAGTGCTATATTAATAGCTGCTCAAAGGCCTCCTGTCATCAGGCTGTAGAACTCATTACCGCAGGATGTTCCTGGGACCTGTGGAATCAGCGCAATGTGATTGGGCACTAATGAGAGAGCAAGCACATTTAGGGTAGTAACTAACAGCAACAAGAATTTTTTGGCAATCAGTAGCAAGTGGTTCCAGCCCTACCATGTTTAGGCAGAGGCAATTTATCCCACGTGTTTCTGTCTTCAGTTCTCCTGCAAAAGAATTGAAACACAAGATTAGCTGGGTCTTAGCTATCATGATCTGTAGAAATTTTCCCCCTTTCTGCTGTTTTCCACAGCTCCAGCTCAGCGAGCCAAGAGGCTCAGTCCCCAATGTGACTCAGTGCAGTGCAGGCATATCTGAGCTAATTTTGAAGCTGTGGACTTCATCTGAGCTGTGGGTTGCGCTCAGAACCACATCACAGAGGGCCAGCACTGGCAGCTGTTCCCTCCTCTGAGGTGATGTACCTACACAGGCGCTGAACTGGGTACTACCTCTTGGCTAATTCTCCAGTGTCTGCATGATCATGTGTCTATTTTGGACTTGCCTAATTCAAACATAATTTCAGATCCAAGCCTAGAAATGGACAGAAGGCCATCCTGCAGGAGATGGAAACCTTCTGAGATGAGGGAAGGTTAGCTGACAGATGGACTGGAGGAAGTGAGTGGGCCTGGGTTTATGGTAGAGGAAATTGCCTAGAAAGTGGGAGTAGCAGCTCCTCACTTTCTCCAGCTGCACAGTGGGATAAAAATTGGTAGCAGCTTAGCAAGATGAGATTACTTTTTGGGGACTGGACAGTCCCTTCTCTTCTGAATGCATTGTATTGTTCTAAACAAATAGAAACCACACACCAGAGAGCTTTTGGCAGTGCAGAAATAGAAGGAAGGACCCTGACTCCATGTCTTTTCTATCCTGGAACGAACTCCTTTTACATTGCAATAACCTCAGGCAGAGTCTTCACCTGTCTCATTCTGCCCTTGCTTTATCTGCATAGACAACACTCTTAATTAATTTACAAAAAAAATGTGTTAGAGCAAAAGTGTCATGTTGTCGGTATTGCTCGGCAGCAAGCTGCTTCCGTTGCTCACAACAAGGCAATGGATGACAGGTTTGCTCTCCACCCCAGAGGCATCTGCTAGTTGCTGAGTTTTTCTCCAAGCTTGGCCACTTCAAGTACCTTTGAGAGAGCTGTTGGTGGCCGTGCTTTGGGATGACAGATCTTATCAATCTAAGAAAAAGAAACTATGAGGTATTATTGTATAGGAACCTCTCTATTTTTCTTTGCTTATTGGATATTTTGGATTCTGTCACTTAAGTGCCTAATCTGTTTCTGAAGGATGAACAGCTGAAGTCCCATGAGGCTAAGCTGAAGCAGATCTCGACTGAGCTTGCTGAACATCGCTCCTATCCTCCTGACAAGAAGCTCAAAGGCAAGGAAGTAGATGATTACAAACTGAAGGACCACTATCTGGAGTTTGAGGTATATATGGGAAACATTATTACTTCTTGGGTGTGATTGGTCTTATATTTGGGGTACAGTCCGGAAGTTCTTAATTTTTCACTTTACTTCCCTAGAAAGTGTGTTCTTGCTAGGCAGAAAAGTCACAGCAATTGCAGATGCTGGGATGTGGCTCTTCTTTCTGGTGAGAACTTCCTTAGTGAATTTAGCTCCCAGTCTGTAACATGGAGGATACAACAAGACTCCTGTCCTTCCTGATGTACCTGTTTGAAAAGATTGCAAGATCTTCTTGCACAAAGTGTCTCTTGTTGTAAAACTGTGTTGCCTAGTGTATTGGAACCTCAGTCTCTAAATCTGCAGGAATGCAGATCATGGTAATTGTCTTCCATTGGTAGGTTCTGAAGGAACTGATATGCTGAAGTTATTGTCATAGGCATGCCACCCTCATCAAAGCCATTTGTTTTGTATACCACTGAGATGGATGTCAGGATGAGAAGGAAAATGGTGGAATTAAAGATCATGGGGTTGAGTGATGCAACTTAGGCAGATGCATTAGGAGACTGTTTTGAGTATCTGACAGCAGCTTTTATCTATAATGGTGTCTGCCACGTTTTAGGACTATGTGGGAATGAATCGGCTACCCAGCAGATGTCTGCTATTTATTATGACTACACCTTTGAGCTTTTTCCCCCAGGACTGCGAGTCAGTGTTGCCTTGGGTCTGAAAGGATCCTACTCTAAATAGGCACTGCCTGGCAAGGAGAATACGTAGTCTGAGAAAGAGGAAGAGCAGATAAGACAGATGAGATCACCAGAACTGATGCTGGAGGTAACACAGCACAAACCTCCAGAACTGAAGTAAGCCTTCTGCCCCGTGCTATGAGTTTCTGTTAGAGGGACTTTTTTTAGTCCTGGACTTAAATCATTGCATACTTTTGCTTTTGCAGAAGTTTGACCACTGTGTAACCACTGTGTTGAGTTTGACTTTGCAGTAGCAATGTCCATCAGCATGGCTTTATGAAGGACGAATCATAAGCTGACCAACATGATAGTCTTTTATGATGTGATGTTGGGTGTGATGGACAAGGGGAGAGCAGTGGATGTTGTTTGTTCTTCACTTTGACAAGAATTCTGACATTGTCACCTCTAACGACCTTGTAGTCAAGCTGATGAAGTGGATTAGGAAGTTGACAGCGAGGTGAACAATCGAGATCAAAGGGCTGTGATCAATGGCACAGTGTCAGTTAATTTTGAACAGAGCACTCATGTACAGAGTAAGCCACAAACTTTATCTCTGGATATCTTGTCAAACTTGGAAGATCAAGCATTTTCTTAGCTTTGGGTTCTTGACACAAAGTTTATTTTGTCACTTTTAGAAGCTTGGTGAGTTAGGATGAAATGTAGGCTGGGGTGTTAAATGTTTATAGAAAGATTGATGAGGGAGTAGATTGTTGCGGAGATTTTTTTCTGTTTCTTGTGAATTTTATCAGGGATAAAATTTATATCCTTTATCTTTTGAGATATTCATCAGGTACCTCAGTACAAATCAGAACCAGTATAGCCCAGAAAAAAAAAAGGTATCCTCTTCAGTAGTGAGAGTCTCGAACAGCATTTGAGCTGTGCAGTTCAGATAAGTGATCAGCTCTGTACGAGTGCTCATCTAAGCAGGCAAGTTGTGGCAACAGCTTCAGTTACATGGGAGAGATGGTAATCCAGGGTGCTGGTTTGCTGTGCTGTGTTACCTTCACAATAAACACAGATTTCACAGGCCATGTTGAACTATCAAGACACCATTCCAAGGGTCACGAGAGCAGGCAATTCCAAAATGTTGGAAGTCAAACAGATGAGGCTGAAGGCTAACTGAGATCTTCTTCTGGAGCTAAGGCAAAAAAGGTTTATTCTGAGTGGAAGCAAGGTCAGGTGGCATGGGAAGAGTGATGCAGCTCATCATTGTAACAAGAAAATTCACATGGCCAAATCTTAATTTGAGTTGCATTTGGTCAGAACTATGGGGGATAAAAAGAGTGTTTTAAAAAAAGTGTCAATAAAAACAGTGTTTTAAAATATATTAATGACAAAAGGCAGGGTAGAAATAACATCAGCATCTTACAGGATTAGGACGTTCATCTCACAAACAGGGACATGGACGAGGCAGAGGTGTTTAAGAAAATGCAGTCTTTGCCTCTGTCTTCATTATGGCTGGCAGACCAGGAGGATCTCAGTGTCCTGACATGGAGGACCATGTCTGTGAGAATGCTCCCATTTAACCTTGAAGGTGTGTGGGATCAGCTGTTCCATCTGGATCCCTGCAAATATATGGGGCCTAATGAGATTCATCCGGGAAACCTCAAACAGTTTTCTGATGTTTTCACAAAACTTTTCTTGATGATATTTGAACAGTCTAGATAGATCCCAGATAGTTGGCTGGAAACTGTCTAATGTTTTCCCAATTTTCAAGAAGGGCAAAAAGAATGACACGGAAACTACAGGTCTGCCATTCTCACTTCAATGCCTGGTAAAACTGAGAAAATTATTCCAGGAAGTACTGGAAAACACCTGGAGGACACTGGAACGATCATCACAGCCAGCACAGCTTCATGAGAGAAAAGTCAGGCTTGTCCAACCTGGTTTTCTTTTATGACAGGATAACCCACTTAGTTGATCAACAGAAGCCAGTTAATGCAATCTTTTTTTGATTTCATAAAGATTTTGATACTGTCTCTCTCAGGAGAGTTGAATATGAGTGAGCAGTGCCCTGGCAGCAAGGAGGGACAGCTCTGTCCTGGGGTGCATCAGGCACAGCATCAGCAGCCAGGCAAGGGAGGGGATTGTCTCACTCTGCTCTGCACTGGGGCTGCCTCGCCTTGAGCGCTGGGGGTAGTTTTGGGCCCCTCAGTATAAGAAAGATTGAAGCCCCAAAGCATCCAAAGGAGGGCAATGAAGATTATGAAGGGCCTTAAGGGGAAGCCGCACGAGGAGCAGCTGAGGTCTCTTGGTTCAGCCTGGAGGAGAGGGACTGACAGGAGACCTCATTGCTGTCAACAACTTTCTTGTGAGGGGAAGAGGAGGGACAGGCACTGATCTGTCTGTGATGATGTGTGGGAATGGTCTGAAGTTGTGTCAGGGCAGCTGTAGGCTGGACATTGGAGAGAGATTCTTCTTCACCCAGAGGGTGGCTGGGCACTAGAACAGGCTCCCCAGGGAAGTGATCACAGCAGCAGCCTGGCAGAGTTCAAGAAGAATTTGGACAGTGCTCTCAGTGGTGTGCATCACATGGTGTGATTCTTGTGGATGGTCCTGTGCAGGGCTAGGAATTGGACTGGATTATCCCTGTGGGCCTCTTCCAAATCTGTTTATTCTATTATTCTGTGAGGCAGTAAAAATCCCAAACCAAACCTAAATGTTGAGCTGTATGAAAATTGTGAATGGAAACTTTGTGAATGGAAAGCTACCCTTTAGAACAATATCCTGTCGGGATTGTCAGGAGTGGTGAAAGAAATTGCTGCATGAGGTTAAATGAAAAGGGCAAGGGGCAGTTGAGGTGGGATTTTTCAACTGTCTCTTTCAGGCTGAGACAGCAGGCTAAACCTGGTGTCTGTGTACAAAGGGCCATGCTGATACATCTCAGGAAACATACCAAAAGGGCCTGTAAGTCCCTAAGCATAGTGCCATTAGCAAGGAAGATGCCATTTTCTTTTCTGTAAGTCCTTACATTTTCTTTCTGTTTACACACTGGTGATGCCTTCATTCTTGTTCCTGGTGAAAGACAAGTGAGATGGAGGGGAGGTGAACCAGGAGGTAACTGGTCCTTGTTCAGGTATGCAGCCAGTAGCATTTGGTTTTGATGGTGTCTTTGCTTACACACACCATGGAAGGAACAGCTTTCATTGCCTGCTCTCTGAGGAAGTACTGTGTCAGATTGCAGAAAATTTGTTGCTTATTGCAGAAAATTTATAGTTAGAGAAGTATCTTTTGAGTGCTGTCAGGTTAGAGATGAAGCCAGAATACTGATGTGTGGCTACTGCATACTTTATTATGTGCATTCATTCTTCAGAGATAGTGTTGCAGAAGCTTTTGAATGGTTTCAACTTCTAGGGTTTTATTTCTTGACAGAATTTCTGAATTAATTTCTTTTAAGCTAAAATTTCCACTAGCATTTACCTAACTTCAAATGTCAGGTCACTGAAAGACCAACTTTGTTGTGGTTGAAATCAAAGGAGAAGTGTGTTGATTAATTGTAATAGAAATCAAGGGCCCACAAAGTCCAGGGGAAAATGGACATTTGTACACATGCAGGTCCTGGATTTCCATTCTGATTGCTGAGTCTTGAGACTCTGGTGGTATTTACTGGACTAGTAAAAGCATAAATCCGTACAACAGTAAAGCCCCCCTCTCAATTTCATGATATTACACTGTTCCCAATCTAAGAGTACTGACTGGCCTTCTGCAGAAGCGTCTGGTTCATTTTGTGATGAATCATCCATCAGCTCAGTGCATCATTGTCAGGGTTCTTCTTGCTGTTTCTCCATTTCCATTTTTACTAAATGACACATCTTACCTGCTTCATGTGTTTGTCTCTCACATTGTGGAGCTGCATCTCCAGATATGGAAGTCATAGGAATGCTTATTTATTTAATTTGTAGGAGGATTCTGTTATGATTCTCCTCTATGAGGGTTTGTTTATTCAAAGGATTCTCAAAAGCCAGTCATGTTCTCTTCTTTTTTTTTCCCCCCTTTATATTCCACACTTCAAAGCGGTTACCAAGCTTTTTGACTTCCTGCCCTTAAATAAATGTTTTTACTAGAACTGTATTATTTTATTAGAAAATGTTTTCTTAAATATTTTCTTAAATACTTTTCCCCTCTGTCAGGAGCATAATAGCTTGGCTGCTGTTTTGCTATTTTCAAATAAAAGTTAACAATCAGTACAGATATTTACATCCACCTTCCCTGACTCCCAGCACACTGAGATCACTGAAATTACGTCTGCACCATGTCTTTACTGGATATATCAGGGGCAGGTTATTAAATAAATCCTATGAAGTGGATTGCTCTGTTCTCAGGACCTCCTGCCCCAACATCTGTTTCTGTGACCCTTCGGGGGTCTTCTCTTACTGTACCCTCATTTTCTTCCCTGCCGAATTGTGTTTTGGAAAATGATGTAATTGTAGCAAACAGAATGAAATCTTCCTGTTGGAGAGGGAAAACTCTGGTCCAGACAAGTAGAACAAATGGACATGGGACACAGTAAAGTGAACTTTTTCCAGTTGAAAAACACAAATGTCTGGACAGACAGCAACCTTCATCATTCCCTGTTTTCCAAGGGAAACATGCCTTGCTGCTGTCATAGCCCTCTCATCTGCTCCTTCTTGTTAAGGTCTGACCTTTTAGAAGATTCTCTCATGTGCCTAGTGGTGGCCATGCTGGTACAGTCTGGACTTGTACCCTGCTTTGGTTTCTCCCCTATGAATAAGAAAAACAGGACCTGCTGGTGGAAGTGGAGAATTGCAGCAGAGCAGGATTTTTGTTGTCCCTTAGTCTAGTGCACTTCATCTCCATTCATGCCTGAGCACATAGGGTCTCAGTATGTGTGAGCACAGCTTTGGTATCAACATGACTAAAGAAAACAAGCTTTCATTTGATGATGTTACTTGCAATGGGAGCCACCACTCATCAGGGCGTCGGAATTTGCATGCTGAGTGCCTCTAATTACACAGCACCCCAGGCCTCAGTCTGCCTGAAATCCTCTTTGTTTAATTTACATTAGCCACTGTTGTTCATATCCACATTTGGCACCATTGTTCACATACACGTTGAGCTCCTGGCTTTCAAGGCCAGCAGAAAGCATTAAGTTACGTAGGTGGTCTCTCATGTGCCCCTGCAGAATTTCTTCCAGACTGATTTGGGCATTTCTTTTCATTTCCCAGAAAAATCGCTATGAGATTTATGTTGGCCTACTGAAAGAAGGGGTGAAGGAGCTGCTGAGCGGAGGAGAGAACGATGCGCCAGGACTGAAGAAATCACACTCAAGTCCTTCTTTGAATCAGGAGTCGCCAGTTAGTGCCAAGGTGAAACGCAATGTCTCAGAGAGGAAGGACTACAGGCCAGAAACACCTAGCATTAAGCAGAAGGTCACTTAGGGTGGAAATGACAACTAGGGGAACAGCTGTGCAGCAAAGTATTGGTGGTCAAAATTTTTTCATTTAATAACCTGTCATTCACAAAAAATAAGTGCATCTGCCTGAATGGGGTGTTAGTGACATTTTCTATTGTATATTTTGCTGTTTCTGTGCAGATTGTGGGAGATGTCTTTGCTCCTGCTTTGCTTTGCTTTGTTAATTTATCATTTAGCAATTGAAACATCGGGACTTTTTTGTGTTATTCTGTTTCTAAAGGAGCTGGGGAAGGGGTAGAACGCTGTGATGTTACTCTGTCTCCTCCCCATTTATCTCCTCCCATCGGCATGTGGCTTTCATCTCTCAAGTCACTTGTCACTTTATTTATGTGGTGGGTGGGAAAAATAACTGGACAAGTGCTGCAGTGCTGTGAATGCAAGCTGTAGCTGTGATAAAAGCTGTGCAAACGTGTAGCTGCAGAAGGCTGACTAGAGGCTTAGGGTGCTGGGAACACTAGTTTCCTGACAATGTGGGGCATGTTGGTACTGGTACTTAGCAGCAGGTGGTACAGTAAATAGTCACTGTTGCTTATTGTTACTGCACTGACCCTGGACACTTTGTGAGTGTGAAGGATTGAAACCTGGAAACCTCTGGCAATGCTGAGATGATGGCGTTGGAGTAATTTGTTTGTTTCCTTCCAAGCAGAGAACCTTCTCCTGAGTTTGCAGGCTGGAAGGCATCCAGACCCATGCTGTCTCTGCAGTCAGGAAGATTAGGGATTACCCAGTTGGAATGGCTATCTGGGCTTCACATTTTTTTGCAGAGAGGGCTGCTGTAGATGTCAGCCATTAGCATTATATATTAATTATATATATTAAAGACAAAGGGCCTCTGTGTAGTTTTTAACTATACGCTCTCACTTAGCTGCTATATAGAGCCTTATGATATATTGTGTCATGTCGCTTCCCCTTCCAGGGGTTCCTTGTCGGTGTGCACAGAGAGCTGCTTTCAATTCCTCTCATAGTGACAAAGCACTTTGCCTTTCTTCTTCAGAACGGGATTCTCCTCAGTTCTCCATTTTCCTTCTTTAGCTCACATATAGGTGGAAGAGGCTGGTGCCTCCTCACAGTTCCTGCATATCTCCTGTGCCAGGCTTTCCAAGGGGAGCACAGGTCTGGGAGAGACCACCATGGGTAGGTCTTTCCATTCCGGAAAGGCCCTTGTTTGTGCCATAGACCCTTGGGGTGGCCAGCAGTCTCTAGGCACAGAGAGCAGAAAGATGACGTAGTAGTAATTTTCCTACTTCCCAGCCCCTCTTGTCTGGGCAGTGTCATGGCTCTGCAGAGAGTGCTGGCTCTCCTGTTACCTAACCTGTTACCTGAGTTTTAATCTCAGTTTTCATACTGGCCCACAGGATGAGCTTGGATAGGTGTCTCCCATTTTGTATCACCCTTTCTCTATATGAAGTAGTACTACCAAACTGGCCTTTCCCACAGAGCGCCTTGGGAGATAATGTTGAGGGCCAGTTGAAAATTGCTCCTTGCTGTTTGTTCTGTTGTGCCTGGCACAGGACAGCCTTCTTGTTGAATTCAATTCTTGATGCATATAGAAACGTCAAGATCAATGCAAGGACTGTTTAGAAATGCACTGGTGTTTTCAGCCCAAGTAGTAAAAGGGCCACACATCAAAAAAATTGCTACCTGAGTGGATGTGTGTTCTGTCAGGCTTCCCAAGGGTCCAAATCAATTAATCTAGAGCTGCCAGTCCAGTGGGCAGAACTAGGAGTGATCAAAGAGAAAAGGCCTTTAGCAGGCACTGCATGATTTGCCTTCCCTACCAAGTACCACCATGCAACAGCTTTCCTAGTGTTGTTCTGACTGTCGGCTGTAACAATGATGTTGCACTCTCAGATACGAGGTTTTGGGGCAAATTGATCCTTGCAGCTGCAGTCTGGCAGCAAAGCCAGATGAGACTGTTCTCATGAGTGATGTTGGGATGCACATCAATCTGGCATCTGCCACAGCTGGGGAATGCTGAATACACCTTTGGGAAGAAAATTTGACCTCCCTGTTAAGATTAAGGAGTGGTATTTAGTGTTCCCACTGAGCCTGTCCAAACTACATGGCCCTGGCTCACTCCCTCCTTCCCCTCCCCATCCTTGCAGTGGGCTGGAGAAAATTTGAGGCATAAAAGACAAAGATCACAGGTTGAGATAACAATTTACTGGAAATGGCAGTGAGACAAGAAAATGAATGGTAAACAACAACAGTATTAATAACAGAGTGTTCAAGAATGCTCACCATGCAGAACCCAATACCCAACCATTTGTGACCCAGAAGGGACAACTTCCCCCTTTCCTGGAAAATGACATGAGGTGGTATAGAATAACCTTCAAGTCCAAGCCATGCTCCTGCTGGGCTACTGCATAAATTAGTCCTGGTCAGAACGAGTACATCATTCTCTGAATTATTTTATATAACTATAGGATACATGCAGCAGAAGCAAAACCCGAAAAAGGTGCAGATCTATAAATGGCCCTGCTTGGCTGTCATGGTTGGGTGAGTAGATGATCTTTTTGAAGGCAGGCTAGAACATGCTTGGCAAACCTCTTGTGTTTATGGAGTGCAGTGCTTCAAAAGGCAAAGAGGTGACATTTAACTTTCTTCTTCCCTGGTTTTAAACGTGTTTTGGTTGCTGAAAATTCCAGTTAAATTGCTGAGCGCAAAAAGATACTGCTCTTGTTAAATGCATTTTCCAGCTTTGACACAGAAACTGGGTAATTCCTCTTCAAAGTCATTGCAGAAAAGATGATTTGAAGCCATAGGAAAAAGCAAAAAGTGAACTGCAAAAAATATGTTTTTTTCATTATTTGTTATCTATTTCCATGTATACTTGTAAACAGATAGAGTATTTTTTTTTTTAGGTCTCATCTGAGTGTATCACATGAAGTTTTTCACTGCATTTTTTACTCATTAAACATTTGTTGAGCTTACAGCAGTCTTGCTGAGACTGCTGAAGCGTGCAGATCAGTTTACCCAGAACTTATAGTATCTGCTTCAGTTTTAATTAATACCATTTTCCTTTGTTGCTTTACAATCTATAAGCATCCCAGGTACCTGTGTAGAAATGCACGCTTTGGAGAATAAGAAAAAAGAGTGATCCTCTTGTGAAAAAATCTAAGACTCCTGCCCTCCCTTGGGAATAGGTTCATCTACCAAGTAGTAGTGTAATTATTTTTTTTCCCTCCTGATGATACTATAAAGGATAGGGCAGGTTCTCAGTTGGTCTAAATGGTGCATCTCCTTGAATAGCACCATTAAGAGTCTGACCAGATAACTTTGCATGGTACCCTTCACCCTGCCTGTCTTTGCTGAAGTGTTTGCCTTTGGGGAAGATCAGTGCTTGATTGCAGTGACTCAGTAGCTCTGATTGCAGTGTGTAAAGATATTCTACTGGTTTCCAGCCCGCCTCTGGGACTTGAGCTGCAAATCACTGGAGCAGCCTGCATTTTCCTGGGTGTACTCAGTGTAAGGAGTTACTGGCTGGCTGCCATAAGCATGTGTGCTTGTGGGAGAGCCTTTGCATGGGTGGCGCAGGGAGGTGTCATCCTTCCTTGTCACCCTCCTGCTCCACTATGCTATCCTTGCTCAGGCGAGGCCTCTGCCTGCATGTAGAGAGTGGGGATGTAAAGAGGGGGAGCAGGCTAAGGCTAACACCTCCTTACTCTCCCTTTCTTAAGGTGCAGACAGTGGTTCTGAGGGGACCCACCCAACTCTGAAGCGTTGCTGGCTCCAGAGACTGAACTGTTTGCTATCCCCAGCTAAGGGAGGAGAGACAGGAAAGGGCCCCACCAGTCTGCCCCTGACAGCAGAGGGCCTATGGAGAAGGGAAGAACTGCCTTCCCCTCTCTCCATCCAGTGACCAAAGTGGGTGAAATACTCTTCTGAAGCCAAAACCATACTCTCCTCTATAATTCAGCAGGATGCAGGGGACTGTTTGACATTTTTTTCATCAGTGGCTGCAAAAGAGTCTCCCTGGACTAGTGGTGTGTTTGTCTGCATCTTGCAGATTAATTACGTATGAACCAGTGAACATGACTACAGCTTCTAAATCCAGTATTTATGTTGTGTCTTCAGTTGATGTAGAGTGGTAAGTCAGCCAGCAGAGTGATTAATGCAGCAGAGTTGTGCGGGAACACTGTTCAGCTGTATTGCCAACTCAAGAGTTTTATCATCTGTAGCCAGACACTTGTAAATGGTTACCAGAAACTTTCTAATGATTAGTAACAGCTTCTCACTAAAGTACTTTCCCTCTGATCCTGCCTGCTCCCAGGTTGCAGTCTGTCTGTATTAAGGGGCTCTCATGGAGAGCTGTGCTCTGCACAGCCCTGCTTTGAGGAGGAGTTTGGCCTAACAGACCTCCAGGGACTGGAATTGTTCAGTGACATTTGACAGTTCCAATGCCTTTGAATAACAAGGCTGGTTGCTCTTCTGGCTTGAAAAAGCCAAAACTTTTGCCTTTCTCCAATGGGGAAATGAGGTTCTTGCTTGACTGGAGTATGCCATTCAGTGAAGATGTGGTTATGGCAGTGGAAGAAGTCAGAGATTACAGGATTATGACCAGGCTTCTTGGGGGCATTGTATGACAATGTTCTCCTTGGAAGTGGGAAAGGCTTTTCTCTGCAGATGGCTTACTGCTTACTTTGTCTGCATTCTCCATTTTTAAATTAATTTTGGTCTTATTGCAGTTAGTCTGACAGCTCCTCCTCCTTTTCTGACAAGCTACACTTGCCTGTCATCTTAGCACCTCAGCTGCTTCTGTATAACAGGTCTGTTTCCTTCCATGCTTGCAGAAATCCAAAAATTTGACTCTCCCATCTTGCTTTGAGAAAACCTGCTCTGAAGCAGTGCTGCATTGAATGGATAACCCTGTGAATAGCTTTTTCACTCTGCTTGTTGGTAGCCTGTGTTTCCAGCCACAGTTATAGCTGGGAGGTGTGAGACTGAGTTTTAGACTGCCATGATTCTCTAGTTGTATGCTGCAAGGATGCTGAGTCCCCCTTCCCACACTTGACACCAGACACTTGCAACATTCCCACTCTTCTAGTATCCACGTTGTTGGAAACACTGGCTGCTTCAGCAGGGTCAAAGGCAGTATACACATCTTATGCCAAGAAATCTTGCAGCTTGCTGCTTGTTGAATTTTCTTCAGTATTGCTCTACCCAGGCTCTGGGACGTCACATCTGCTCTGAGGGGGCAGTTAAGAATTCCGCATTTCTCATCAGAGCACAATCATTGCCCCCCATCATGTGTTCTCAGCATCTGTTATCTAGGCTTCTTAGGGGGAACCACAGAAGCTGTTTCAGAAAAATCTAGTCTGCAGCTTGTGCTTTTTAAAGGATATTTTTAGTGCATATAGAAGCAGTATGTCTGGCCTCTCCTCTGCTCTCTCCCAGAGCTCTCCCAGCAGCATAGGTATAGCATAGTGGGTTGCTTCACCTGGAGCTTCACTGTGGAGATCTGAGCTTCAGGAAGAAGAGGCTTTGTCAGCCTTCAGAGAAATGCTACCACCTGAGCTGAGCATCAGTGCACAGGACAATGATGCTGTATGAAGAAGCCAGTGCCACCCTCCATGGCTGGTCACCTGCTGGAGACTGTGAGCTCTAGCATTACCCTCAGTGTTGGAGGTAATGAGGAATGGTGGCTTCCTTTTCCCTCTAGTCTGTGCTGAGGAACTGTCTTTACCACCCACTACTTTTCTCCCTTGTGACAGCAGCACCCTTATCCAAGGATACCACAGTCCCTTTGTAAGAAGACTGGTTTACATGAGAGCAAGGAGGAGAGGTCATTGGGAAAAGTCTGAATGCCATCTGGGAGTATCTGCTCTGCTGATGGCAGCATACAGTTAAACATTGAAAGGAGGCAGACCCAGCCTTGCCTGAGAGAATGTCCCTTGCTCAATTTGTTAGCTGAATTAAGGTTGTGTTTTAGTTATTTATTAGAGCGCATCCCTTACCAAATGCAAGCAAAAACTTTCACAAAGATTCGACCATTGACTTGACTTTGCCCTTGTGGTCAAAAGGAGCAAATTCAGGCTAGTCCAAGGTGTTCTCTCTTGCCTGCCTTTGAACGCTTAATTATTCCATAAAAACTATAGATGTTTAATCAATGAAGATCGTCCCATGGCATCTGCTTTTAAAGCAAGCCAGGAACCAGCTGGGGTATAGGCCTGAGGTTTATTTGGACCAATTAAGGTACATCACTTAGCAATACAAGCATTGAAAGTGCAACATGCCGCAAGGGCAGGATTTTTCTCTGACGTAATCCACTGTAATTAGTAGTCACTCTAGCAGTGATCCTGTCTAACTCACCTAAGTGAGACTAGCACAAGAAGACAATTTTTGTCTAAACAGGCAACATTTCAGCTTAGGCCAATTGATATCATGGTGTAGTGAGAGAGCAGCTAGCTAAGCTGCCATGAAGACTTGTTTGGCACAAAATCCTCCAACTCCCCTTATCCTCTTGCTGGGAAGAGGGAGATAAATGCTATCGAGTCTGTGTCACCACACAGCGCAAACTCTACTGGTAATATAAGTCTTAACTCACAGACTTACGAAATTCTCATACTCAGAGCTGTCAGATGCTGAAAGACTGTAGGATGAGAACAGGGGTGGGTTGTGGTAGGGTTTTTTTTAAATTTGTACATATTCATGACAACTGTGTCCTGTTACTTGAGTCTAGAATTATAATTTGGCTAAAAGGACAGAGTTTTTTGGGTGTTGAAAAGCTTTAAAATCACTCCTCTGTGTGAGGTACACTCTGAGACTTATATTACTTGGTGAACATGTTTAAGTGATGCCTATAGATGTGTGTGTTTCCTAAGTATAGTATGGCTTCTATGGCTCAGTACTACAGAACCTGCTGTTCTTTTCTGAGGCTTGTTTGGTCAAAGCACTTCAGCAGCTGCAAACATTGTTAGGATGCTTGTTGTTCTATTGTTCTCAAGTGAGGTTAAACAGCTATCAGAGCTTTTGCAGATTTAAAGTATACTTTGAGCTGCTTTCATCTTCATGTGTTGTCCACCAGGGGCTGCCTGTTGTTTTGCATGTTGAAAGCAAGGCATATATTTGAGAGTCTAAGCAAGAGCTAGTGGGTGGAATTTTCTGCTAGCTTAACACTGGGCTGACTTTCTCTCTGTTTATATCAGCCGATGCCTGTACAAGGAGCATCCATGCTGACTTCTTCTGAAAATCGTGCTCTGGGGATCTAATACACAGCTTTACTTCTGAAAACGTTGACCTTGCTCTGTGAAAATTCGGCAAAGGGACATCATGTCCAGAGTGTCCAAGAAGGACAGGTGCCTGTGATGTCTCCTGCAGATACAGCAGTGCAGCAGTAGTGAGGGGTCTTTTTTCATCAACTGTTCAAATTTCCAGAAGAGTGGCTCATCAGTAGGGAAGAGAAGAGCAACAGGGCTGAAATGATGTATCTTGGGCATCTCTTATGCCTCCCAGAGGTTTCTTTTGAGAGCATTGAGCAGCCTTTTAACAAGTTGCTGGTCTGAGGAAAAAGACATAGGGAAACCCAGTGAGTTTTGCTGTTGTGTTCTAGTAAGGGCAACAGTAGCATGATCTGCATTATTCTAGAAAGAGAGAGCAAAAGAGGGTGTGATTCTTCCCTGGGGACATAAAACTCTTATCATGCAGTTAGGTTGAAGCACTTGAGCAACTTCAATAGTGAAACTATGCCTTTGCACTTCACTGGACCACAGCTTGAGTGATTGCGCCTTGCAGAACTGAGATGTGAGTGAACTGCAGCTCAGAATGAAATGAAGGAGACCACCGTGTAACCTTGCTTTGGACGACCTGCAGCCCTGTAATCTTTTTTCGAGTACTGGGCTTCTCCCTTGGGTTTCCTGCCCTCCATGGTGATGGGAAGATGTGGGTGAGCACTGTCAGTTTCAGAGTCACAGTTAAGAAGTGTCATTTACCCACCACCTGAGCTGTTGCTATGTTGTTTTCCCTTAGGCTGAGAAAGAGGACTGAATTTTCAGTCGATGTTGCTTGGTATCCAATGGGGAAGCATAACTTAGCAGTGGTGATGCAGAAAAACATTTTGCACATGTGTGTACATACACCTTAGACATCTCTTGTGTGCAGAACTAACGTTACAACTTGACAACAGTCTTTGCAAGACCTTTCCTCTGGGTGGTCTCCAATTGCTTCTGTGATGTGTAGGAACCTTATTTCTGGTAACCTTGAATTCAGTTTACTCTCATCACTGAATTGCTGGAGTGTTTTTCATGTAATACACTAGAGACATTCCCAGTCTCACCATTTTGTGGTAACTTCTTGGTCTGCTGTGAAGCAACAGCACTGAGGTAGCCATTAAGTCTTTTCCAGCAGCATGGAACTTGCTGTTCTGACTCTTGGGGAGGTCATCATCTCAGGTTTGACACTATCCTACTACCAGGACACCCTGTTTTGTCCCTGGGAATAGGCATGGCCAGAAAAGCATACTGGGTGGTTAGAGTCAGAGTTGTGCAGACTTAAGTCAAGCCCTGATTCAGGGAAGATTTTTCCATGTGCTGCTGATGTCCATAAGGACTCAAACATATACTTGCTTACACAGAGATGCTTTCCTGAAGCAGAGTTGTCACTCTTTTCTACAGGTATCACAGGATGCCCTCCCTTATTCTGCTTCATGTATCTGGTACTAGAATGATCATTTCCTGATAAATGAAGGCACTTAATCAGTCCTCTTCCCCTTGGAAGAAGGACTTTTGGGGATATTGTTATATCATTTAAAATAATATTTTGGAATTTAAGTTTACATTGCTTTATTTTTCACTTGAGGTGACTGTATATAAATATTTTCCTCTATTTTATCATTGCTGATAAAGTAAGCCTACAGTATACAGACAAATAATTTGCCTTTGATGTATTGAAACTGTGAGATAAAAAGTAGATTTCTCTCTTGTGTCCATGTTCCTGACTATAACTCTGTTCCTCTGTGTTTTTATAAGTTGGAATAAATGTTGCTTACGGGCAACAAAGAGCCTGCAAGCTTCCCAATAATTTTTGTCATTGAACTCAAGCAACCCTATTGAAGGATCTCACATATGTATAATGATATATGTATATGTACAAACTTTAGAAAGAAATAAACCAAATGTATTTCACATTCTGCAGCTGAATGTTTTTTATTTGAACCCTAACAGTTGCTCTTACAAGTAAGAACAGGAAGGTGGCTTTACAGTGGCTGACTGTCCTGCTTCTGACTTTTGGAAGTCAGTAATTTCAAGGTTTTCTGAGCTGAAGCATACATGTATTGTCTGCTATACAGTCTGGATCTGACCTGCAGTTGGGGAACCAATGGAGCCAGTGGCAATTCGTGCCCATTAGTCCTGTGTGAGGGCAGCTGGAGCACATCTCTTTTCCTTCTGCACCTGTACAGGAAGTGGCATCCCTTCCAGTTTTGTCAGGGTGTGTAGCCTACCACTGCTTGCAGTGAAGAGACAGCAAGAGGAGAATTAACTGATTTAAAATGGGTTTACCAACCTGTGGATTAAAGGAGAGAAGCTGCAGGAAACAGCTGTTCAAAATTATTGGGAGTTGATCTCAACATTTATATGAAGAGGTCACAGTTGAGGTTGGGAATTGCTGCTGACACGGCGCGTGGGAAGAAAGGACCCATGAAAGTCAGAAGACTCAGACACTAAAGAAAAAGATGGAGTGTAAAAAGGCAGAGGTGGGAGTGGTTAAGAAACGATGCCTGTCCAAAGTAAGGAGAAGCACTCTGTACAACACAAAGCAAATAGTGTTGTGCTTGCAGTTCTTGGGTTGGAGGTAGATCAACATGGGAAATTAGTATTCTGTGTGGAGGGTGGGTCACAGGGCAGATGGAGAGGATGGGTGGGGCATGCCCAAGATTTACAACAGGGCTAGCAGCTTGTACTTGGAACAATAGTAAGGAAGACATCTTGTTTCTTACCAAGATTTCTGTGAATGTTTAACTATCTTGACGTGACTGTTTCTTTATATTTTTCCTCAGCATGTTGCCTTTAGATGAATGGTAAGACTTTCACACTTGAGATAGCTCTGTGTGTGTTTTTGGTTGTTTGTTTGTTTGTTGTTTATTTGTTTGGTTTTTCACACTATGCCTTGGGGTATCAAATTTTTTCACTGTTGTACCATCCTGCATTGCTTCAGAGCATTGGGATTTTTTACTCCAGTGCAGGCTTCTGGATTAATATGTTTTTAATGAAAAGACTAAACAAAGTGGTGGTAAGGATGGGTGGGAGTATTTTACAAAGATATATTAAATGCCTCCTCTAAGCCCAAATGAATGTTTGAACTGTGTCTGAATGTTAATGTCAGTACTGGTCACCACATCTTTTCTTACTGTTTCTTCCTAGCTGACAGAGTCAACACTGAGAATTTTCTGGTGTTTTTTCTACCTGGAATCATTAGTCACATCACGTTGCTCACAATGCAGTGAGCTAGAATAAAATGACAGAACAGGTGCAAACTGAAAGACAAATGCATTTATATTCTCTTCATTGTCCGTTTTCAGTTCAAGTTTCCAAGTACGGAATATAATTATCAAGGAAGAATGAAAAGGCTAGTTTGTGTATGCAGAAGAAACCTCCACAGTCTACAGCAGCTACACATTATTTGGGTATTCATAAATAATGTAGCATGAGAAAGAGACTTAGCTCAAAGTAATACACAGTTTGGTCTGAAATTTTCATGATTATCTCTAGATTGGAAATGAGAAGAAAGTTCTTACCCATCAGAGCACTAATCTACAAGGTAAGGGCAAAAATACCCAGGTGCTTTTAAGGTAGAGCTGGAAGAGAAATCACGTGATGATAACCCAGGTTTTCATTTTTCAGGTCATTGCACATTGCATCTGTTTCTTTCCATGTTTGCTACTAAATTATGTTTCTCAAATTATGTCAGCCTCTATCCTAACTATTTCTCCCAGAAAAAGGGCCATCCTAGAAAACATGAGTTGCTACAAAACAGCTATCCACCTTGCCAGGTTTTCTGTGTTATGGTGGCATTCATTTTAGGACATTTTTCCTGGTCCCATTCCACAGCTAGATTTTGGATAGATCAGTACATAAATGATGTGGGGTTTTATTTTGATGGCTTGCTCCTCACAATAAGATGCAAAAACAAGGCACTAAACTGGGACCAGATGAAGGAATCAAGACTAAGTAGACTTACTTGCCTTGGAGAATGTGGTGGTGATATGTTGCTATTATGAAGTGGAAGTTTGTGGGGATGTTTTTGTCTCCTCTTCCCAGGCAGGGTGTAATAAAAGGCTGAGTTTGCCCCAAAAACAGCCTTGGGACGTTCACACCTGGGACTGGTTTTGTTGAATTTGGCCAGTGAGGATAAACTGACAAGGGGTGTGTCTTAGGGAGGAACCTGGGCAAAGAAGGGGAGGCACAAGAGTGGCAAAAAAGTTTTTCCAGGAAATGGAAACAGTAATGAATAAAGCAAAAAAATCAGATAAAGAACAAAAGAATAGGAAACTTTCTGAAAGGAGGAGTGCAGGTGCCTGTGGATATATTGTTGATTTGCAGCCTGATCTGCCAGGAATTCCCTTCAGGAGGACTGTGAGAAACTTTCTTTGAGAGGTTGGGCTTCAGTGGGATAGAATTTCACTGTGGTGATACATCATACAAAGAGGTAAAGTGATGGATTTGTAAGTAAATAGTTGATGTATGTGATTCATAAGATTTAAGAGTGTGAAATAAGCACTTTTTGTAATTGTGTGTAATAGGGTGGAAAATAGTATAATTGTAGATTAGCAGTAGGCATGTGTTTGTTTGATAATCAGTATATTGATTACTTAATAGACTGACCAGTTACTCAGTAGTGTGTCGCTTAATCACTAAAGCCTGTAATTTTGTTATAGCACTTACTTCTTGACCTTGCAATCTAAATGGTGGGGATTCTTCTTAAAGTAGCAGTTATATTGAAGGAAGAAACATTTCCTACCTAATCTTAACTTGCTTCAGCCACAACACATTGACCATTGCAAGGACGCTTGCAGGAATGTTTGTAAATATTTGAATTATGCCAGTGACCACAGACCACAAATCTCAAGAATGCAAACAGCATAGAAATGACATATTGGGAAAGTAAGGTTTGTGAAAGCAAGGTCCTCAGGGAAAGACTTTCATAGTGTACAAGTACTGTTTTCTCAGCTAACACTGCCTGTCTGCATGTGTAAAGGTACTGAAGAGCCTTTATCTTTATGATGTGCAGTCTTAAAATGTAGGGGAAGTGTACAGATGGCTAAAAATCTGTGGAAGAGAGCAGAATATAGCATTGAAGACTGAAAACTCTGTGGAAAAGAAGATCGCAAGATGGATTTGCCCAAAGGGAGAGGATTTGTTTGAAAACCAGAGGTAAGACAAAAACTGAACAAGACTATAAAGAGAAAGCATGGAAGGTAACTGAACAGTACACAGATTCATTTACCACTTGTAAAAGACAATCCATTAATAGGAAAGGACCAGACTCTTGCAAGGCTGCCTAACCACTCCCTTTACCAGAGTGCTCTTTGGTGAAAAGTTCTTATTCCCCCATTGTTTGCAGAGGCATTTTGAATACTGCCAGGGCTTGCCGTAGGATCAGGAGCATGCTATGTGCTGGCCTTTAGGGGTCAAATTCTCAGAGTTAGCCAAGCCAAGGTAGATACTCCTTCCTGCACCGGTATCTTGGAACACAGCAGCATGCCTGGGGCTGCACACTGTCTGCTGGATGGGGCGTGTCTTTGCAGAAAGGACAGAAAGAAAACCCAAAATGCAGCTGAAGCTTGTTTTCCACCGTTGCTGTACTAAGATTGTTCAAAATAAGTGGTTTAAGGGGGTGGGTATCTTTTGCTTTCTTCCTCTCCAAGAAATGTTTTTTCTTCAGACAGAAATCATCTTTCTGTTCTACCTCACTCAGAAGTATAGTGTAGATATGCCCCATCAGCTCTTCGGAAGGTTTGGAATATTTTTAGTCACCTTGGGCAACTCTCTCCTCTGCCCAAATGTCCAGTGTAAAATAAGTACACTTCTTTTCTTCAGTCAGGACTTGTAAACCAAGATGTGTGTTGCTGAGCACTTGCTGTGAGTGCAGTCTTCACCGCAGACATGTGCACTGTCCTTTGAAAAGAAATTATTTTGATCGAGGTGGTGGCAGGGATGCTGCTGTGAGGGTGAGTGTGGAAAATGCTCCTGTCCAATCAGAAGTGCATGTGTGATACATAGGTGTTCCTGTTCCATCCCATCTTGGGCTGAACTGTGCTGAGCACCCTGTAAGTACAACTACTGAGACAGGGATGGATGGAGCCAATGCCATTAGCAGCATAATTACCTGAGTAATAAAGACACTAGAGATGCTCACCTTGGCAGAAATTTGCAGTGTTCTGTGCCTGGGACAGAAATACTTTCCATGTCTAGCTGCTGGGACAGTTCGTGGGGGCCTTGCAGCCAGCCAATGATAGCAAGAACAGTGTAAAACCTGAGTCCTATTACCACAGCCTTACCCACGCTGCGTTTCTTAGGCAACTGCAATGTGGGCGGCAGTCAGAGGTTGTAATTGTTTCATGGGGGGAAAAAAAGCCCATATGCATACACACGCAGAATTAAGAAATGAAGTGCTCTTTCCTTTTAGCTGCAATTTCTGACTTCACTTTGGACAAATTGTCAGGATCCGCATTCCCACTGGCAGGGAGCCAGGCTCCCTGGCACTCTGATTAAACGGTGTGTGGGCAAAATGTAGGCAGATGATGGGGACTTGGTACATTGAAACCTTACAGAGCTGTGTTTTTCTTTTCTGCTGCTTTCTCTCTCCAAACTCCTTTCAGGCTAGATTTTGGCCATCCTTCACTAGGTCCTTGGGGTCTGAACATCCAACTTCGGGAACTGAAAAGAGGTATGAAGCCACAGAGGTAGCTGCTCAAGGTACATAATCCCTAGCTGTTTGTTCCCTTGCAGGTGAGCACATAACCCTCTGAGTGCAGTGAAGGTGTCTGAGAAATCAAAATGTTGGGCTTCAGCGACAGAAAGGGAATTTTTCCATGTAGATGGGAGACCTCTTCTGTGAAGGACCCAGTCAGCCAGTAAGACATGCTTCTGGTCCAGCTTTAGCCTTCCTGGGAGCTCCAGCTATG